AGAATTGATTGAGGATTCCTATAAACGTAACATCTATACATTATAATGAAATTGTAACTATATCGAATCTGTACATTAAATATTTTTGGGAAAATCTTATTGAAATAGACATTATTATCGATACAGAGTCCAAATATATAGTTTTTAGAATTTTTGTCTTTTTGTCTGTTACCGCATCACGAGAAAACCACTGGACAGATTTTGATGAAATTTGGTATATATAGATGATAGCTGGTTGTCCGAGTCAACATATAGAATACTTTTTACCCCGGGAAAATATCTCATTTCTGAAAAAAAATACAAAAACTGCATTGTAAGAGTATACTAATATGAAAAACCTAAGAATTTGCTTTTTGGTCATCTGAACGCGGGCGGAGCCGGGGGCAATGCTAGTATCATATATTTTATAAAGTTACGTAAGGTCTAGTAGCAAGACTGGTTCGAATAAATACGCACATCTATCGAGGAAAATATACACTTTCCTCATAATTGTATACGTGGTATGGACGTGTGTGTTTTAATCGATATTTCGTGACGTATTCGATTCTTTGTTATTCGACAATAAATCGTAATTCATTTTCTTTTGTATTGTTTATTTATAAGTATAATAGAGTTTAAGTTAAAAAACAAACTTATGACAATCTGTAACATGTCATATATTCGATATACTATGAAAAAGATTCAAATAAAACCAATCTCGAGGTTGGCGTTTTCGAGGTTTCGAATGCTTTACAACAATCATGGTCACGGTAGAGACTAACACGACTATACAATTATTTGTTAAAAATATATCCGTCTTTAACAACTATATAGCTTTTAAGACGTCTTGAACTTTTTTCTTTTTTATTTAAAAAAAAATACACTCTTAAGACTTACTTTAATTTTTAAGATTTTCTAGTATTTGACATTTTAAATGAAAAAATAATTCATGTGTGTGTCCTCCATTGAGACCATGTTCGCTGTAAAGCCTTCGAAACTTCGGGAACAAAAATTAAAAATAAAACTACGACAAAATCCCATGATAGTTTCAATAAAACCCTAATCAGTATATAAAATCGTGTAACAAAATAAGACATTTTATAAGTAAACATTGAACTAAAATTTGAATAAAATAGCCTAAGTGACTATGAACTGTACAATAATTGTAATAATGTTGACAACACGTTTGACTCAGTTTGTAATGACGCTACTTGCTGTGATAGCGGTTACGGGTTCGAGTCCCGCTGGGGCATTTATTTGTGTGATGAGCACAAATGTTTGTACTCCAGCCATGGGTGTTTATATTTACAATATGTATGTATTTGAAGTTATATATGTGTAGTGTATCAACTATCTGGTATCCATAACAAAGGCCTCGTAGCTTACCATGGAACTAGATGATGCTACTCGTTAATGTCCCAACATATTTATTTTTATTTATTTTTAATAATTAGTACAACCAATATTATAGGCAGAATTTATTATCTACCACATTCAGCTTTTATGATTGTAAAGATAGGACTAAACAAAAAAAACATACCCATTACTAAAAACAGTCAATCTAAACTAGGCTAGATAAGACCTAACTAAACTAAAAGTTAGCTCTAAAATGACGTCAGTATCAAAATGAGGTCGCAATGACAGTGTAACCTTGACACAGTGTCCTGTATTGATTTCTCACATATAAATAATTTGTTACTAGGAAATTGAGTGGTTGCAAAAACATTCCTGGTGACACGTTTTGTTTTTTCCTTTCAAAATATTCCTACTATCCATTGCCTAACTGAAATAAGGTAAACGGCTAGTACATTCTTTTCTGTTATTAAACACTAGTGACTCACCCTCGCTTTGTTCGGATTGGTCCCTAGCTTGATTCCCATATAAACATTCATTCCGATTTTAACCCCCTTACGGGATGATATCCGGGATAAAAAGTATCCTATGTCCTTCCTAGGGTCTTAAACTATCTTCTTACCAAATTTCATCTAAATCGGTTTAATAGATTCAGAGATTACCCCCTACAACGACACAAACTCACAAATTTTACCTCTTTATAATATTAGTATAGATTAGCAAAACATAATCTAAAAATACACTTTTTGAAATTTCATTTGTAAATTATCATTTCTATTGTCTTTAAAAAATGTATGTTGTAGCATTTTATCTTATATTTTATATTAAATAAAAAATATCTATTTAAATGAATCTAAACATAATAACATATAATAAAATTCTGAGTCGAATTTGTTCATAAAATATTTTTTTGTAAATTTTATTGAAATAGTCATTATTATCGATACATAGGCCAAATCTACAGCTTTTTAAAAAATTCTGTCTGTATGGGAATGCGAAAATCACGTGAAAACCACTGGTCAGATTTTGATGAAATTTAGTATGATGGCTGGTTATGCGGCTCAACATATAAGATGCTTTTTACTGCAAGAAATTATCTCATCTCTGAGTAATCTATACTAACCGTTAAAACGTATCTAGGGACGAACCCGTGAGGAGCGAGTGTGAGATGCTAAGTATCTAATAAATTACTAAAATAACCTAAAATAAAAACAATCCCATGTACGAAGTCAGGAAAAAATGAAAAAATGAAGTTCTTTGATGAGTAAAAAATTTCCGCAAGCAAAAACTGATGGCCATTAAAAGATAACTTTATCTCCAGGGAGCTAGGCTATGTGGTGGCGGCGAATTCAAAGAGAAATACAAAAAATATACTATAAATAACAATACTTGATAATTATACTTAATGGATACCTAATTTAGGATTTTTTAAATATTTGTTTTTCTACACACAAAATGATCATTGAAAAAAAATCCTTAGAAAAAAAAACTTTCATTTAGGTATATTTTATTATACTTATAATATAATAATGATAAAATGTATCTGGAAACTTGACAATTATTTACACATTCATTTCCTATGGCTTTATTCGAGTATATTATGGCATTAGTTTTATTTCAATGATATATTCCACATTTTACTATGAGACTACTATATGACACTACACTTATATATCATTCACTATCTGGTATCAACTATCTAGTATCCATAACACAAGCCTCGTAGCTTACCATGGAACTAGATGGTGCTGTGTGTTAATGTCCCAACATATTAACTATATAACAAATAAAAAAGAATCAACGAAATCGGTCCTAATAAGATGGAGATATCCAGTAGCCTCTTTTTGGCTCTATTTGACAAATAAAGTAGATTAGTTTAAAAAGAAATCAAAAATCCCCGATAAAAAAAGTCTATAAAGTGTAATGTCAGTATAGCTATATTTAAAGTTCCTAGGGACGCACCCGAGCGACGCGAAGTCGCTAGTGTTAATATATAAAATTAAAATAAAGTGAATTTTTAAAAATTTAAGTAAACTAGCATTGCCCACGGCTCCGCCCGCGTTCAGATGACCGAAAACCAAATTCTTAGGTTTTACATATTAGTATACTCTTACATTGCAGTTTTTGTATTTTTTCTCAGAAATGATTACATTTTCCCGCAGTAAAAAGTATCCTATATGTTGACCCGTATAATCAGCTATCACCATACCAAATTTCATAAAAATGCTTCCTGTGGTTTTTCTGTGATGCGGTAACAGACAGATAGACAGACAGAAAGGCAGACAGACAGAAAGGCAGACAGACAGACAGACAGACAGACAAAGATTCTAAAAACTATAGATTCTGCCTCTGCATCGATAATAATGTTTATTTTAATAAGATTTTCCAAAAAATATTTAATGTGTAGATTCGGCTTAGATACAATTTTATTATACGAGTATGTATAGATTAAAATTGTATACAAACTAACTCAGGGTAAATAAAGTATAGTTATATATAAGCAGATATAGAGAAAGTCGTATTACTTCAGCTTTCCCTTCCGGTCGAGGGGCGCCATTGGCTAGGAAAACACATTTACCTCGTAGGTAAATATGCATTAAATAAACTACTAAGATGAGCTTTGGTTATTAGAAACTTTCTAATGAAAAATATCGCATTTATTATATCTTCATTCAAACATGGTACATAATAAGTAAACTCTATTTAATTTTATTTTACGTACACTTTGTTATAAGTATAATGGGAGCCTAGCTTTTATCACAGATAAATAAAATGGAAGTGTCTGTTTGTAATGTCTAAGTAACAGTTTTTTACTAAGCACATATGAAAGTATATACGGTATTAATAAGAAAAATACATTTTTTTGTCTGTCTATTTATTCTGGCTAATCTCCGAAACGGCTGGACCGACTTTGACAGAACTTTCACATTTAGGTAATGTTATAAATAGTAACTTAGGCTACTTTTATTTTAAAAATAATTAGAGTTCTGCGCAAAAAAAAATAAGAGCCATGACATAATTAACAAAATTCGCATACAGGAATATACCAAGGGACACACTCGAGCGAAGCAAGGTTAACTCGATAGTCGCTAGTTTTAAATAAATGGCTTATTATTGTTAATTGAATTTGTTAATGGTTAAGAGTGTGACTTAATGTTATATAAATACAATTATTATTGATTTGTAGTGATTTGAAGTGACATTGATTAAAAATTAACAAATTTTCACATACACATTCGTATGTATTATGGTGAAATATAATATAAATAGTACATACATATATAGAATTAGTGATCAATAATTTAAATAAAAATGAACGCATAATAAATTTTAATATTTTTTGTAAGCGTATATGTGTTTGTTTTTATTAACTTTAAATAACATTGTTTATGACTTAAGTATTATTTTAAACGATATTAAAATCCTCAGAAATTACTAGATTGTAAAATGAAACGTTATTACGATCCATTAAATAAACGTAAATATATAATAGTATATTTTCTTAATATAGAAAGTTCGCCGATGGCGCAAATAGTAAAAGCGAGCTTGAGAAAGGAAAATTATACTTCCTCGACCGGAAATTGAGAGTAAATCTAGTGAAAACTGCTTTAAAATATTAATAGTGTCACGAAGATGTTTGCGACATCTATTTTTCGTTAGAGGAACTAAGTTTTAATCTCATTTAAAAGTTTGAGTGCAGTAAGCGCCATCTGTTGTATTGTTATAAAACTGTTACTAAACATTGCTTCTACTACTTTACGCAGGATGTCACTAGTTACTTTATAAGTTTCAAAAATAATTTCTAAAATAAATATCAAACACAATGAAACATTGAAATAAAGACATTATTAATCATAATAAATTAATTATTAACGTCACAGTATTCTTATTATATATCGAATCCATTAAAAAAAATTACAACACGCTTTATATACTACTTGTAAGTTTATATATTATATTATAAACTAATTGTTTTTTTAATTTTAAAGACTCACCTTTTCCTCCGCCAGCGTCATGCACCTGAGGCTTCCCACTCGGCACCCGTTGCATTGGAGATGCGCTTCCATAGTTCATACTTGTATATTCTGAATTCATTGGTTCTTGCTTTATGCCACTAGATGTCGCTGCTAATTTTTCAGCCAGTAAAGGATTGGCTGAGGCAATATTGTATCTGCCATTATTAATGTTATTTGCAACCGCATGATTTATCGCGCTGGTGCCAGAACGCAATAGTTGTTGTAAACGTTGCTGACCGTTGTTTGGTAACACCAGCTGGTTCTGTTGGTAGTAGTTTTGCAGCTGATTTGTCGGTGATATGTTGTTGTTCTCCTCTTGCTGAAAATACAGTTACGATATTGTGTTAAACACCTTTGTTATTGTATACAGATAATATTAAAAGTTTACGCATTGACTTTGCAAAATGTTTTTAGTAGTGGAATAATAAATTGATGGATATTTATGATATTTGGTATTTATAAAAAGTAATTAAAAATACCTTTATTTCAACAGGCGGTGCTGTTGCTGTAGAATTGGTAAGGTCAGTGAAAAAGGTGTCGAAATTATCAAAAGCGGTTTCCCCTAATTGTTTCAGAATATCATCTGGGTCCGCGGCCTCAGAGCCATCTGCTTCCAACGTGAGACCCCCCACAAAGTTGGACAACTCCGCTTGAGACAATTCACCGAGAGATGTCGCCATTTGTAGATGTAACTGTGTCGCTGTTTGCCCAGATCCAGTTACTGCATCCTGTAAATGATAAAATATAATAAGAAAGCATCGTAGTACTAAATGGTTTTATTTAATGTTTTATTTCTAAATATTTTTTTATCTACTTTTAAACTAATTATACGAAGTATATTATAAATAAGATTATCTTTGTTTGGTAATTAATTTTCAATTTAAATATGGACAAACCACAGATATATTTATATTACAAAATAACTCTGAAAAATAAAAATTAACCTAGCAATAAAACAATTTAATCAAGAAGGCCTCAAGATTTTAACATATCTCAAAATTCATAACAAAATTAAATTCTTAATCTTATTACAATTTGAAAAATATCAAAAACCGAGTCCTACCTGAAGGCAATTGGAGAGATCGACCATTCTTCCCTCATTCTCCGCTGACCACCAATCGTCTTCAATAAATGGCATCGCCAAAGGCCCCGACGGCGTATGCGACCCCGCCACCTCGCCTCGATCACGCCAGATGGCGCTCTTACACTAACACAACACTCGCACACGCGAATATACACTAAATTAATAAATTCGTTTTAAAAGTTTGGCAGTGTTTGGACGGACCGTACATTATTCGATGTATAAGATTATGTGACGATTAGGTACTTAATGGAACACATTGTATTGTCGGTGTTGGCTATTCCCGCCAGGTTACCTCACCCCCAGCACTCCACTTCTCTTCAACAGTGACCTGTGAAAACGACAAAAGTGGGCTCTCACGCATTTCAAAAATTTAATCCTAACAGCGATATATTTTGATTAAATATCATGAAGGAGTAATCTTAAAAAATACGTTTTATATTACCTGTTCGTTTAATTTATTGCTATTAAGTTTGAAAATAATGAAGTCGATAATTAACATTTTTCGTTAATCAATAAATTAATGTAGACTAGCGACTTACCCTTGCTTTGCTTGGGTGCGTCCCTAGGTACGTTTTAAATAGATAAGTATAGTTATTGTGGACTTTTCAGATAGCATTTTTAAAAATTATAAAACTTCCCAGTTTAACATCGCCGCCGCGAGTATATTGTTTTTTGGTAATTACTAATTTTAAATCCGTTACATCGTCTAAAATATTAATGATAATGATTTACTGTAAAGAGCAAATTTTATATATTAACTCCCCGCCCGCGTTCAGATGACCAAAAAGCAAATTCTTAAGTTTTACATATTAGTACATATATCTCAGAAATGAGATATTTTTCCGCGGTAAGAAGTATCCTATATGTTGACCCGAATAACTAGCTATCACCATACCACATACATAAATTTCGTACACACTTTCATACACATAAATTTCATCAAAATCCCTCCAGTGGTTTTTCTATGATGCGGTAACAGACAGACAGACAAAAATTCTAAAAACTATAGATTCAGGCTCTGTATCGATAATACTCGTAATGTCTATTTCAATAAGATTTTCCAAAAAATATTTAATGTAGAGATTTGGCTTAGTTACAATTTTATTATATTATGTAGGTATAGACGTAACCAACTTATTTAATTAGATTAAGATTAAGATAATGTTGGTCAAAACAACTTTGAAAGTAAATCAACGTAAATCTATGTAAGCCATGTTGCCGGATATACAGACTGACAGACGGGGTAAGCGTTTTTGTTTGTTTGTTATACTGTGAAGGGAAGTATATTATGGCATATAATTAATAATACTTGCCAAGAAGTTCTTAGATTAATATAATTGTACAGTAGTAGTGTGACGATTTCACCTGGCGATGTCCCGGTGTATATCGAACCTGCGTCGATGCGGCATAGAGGCAGCGGGCTGCACCTACACCCGCTGCGCACACGTTGCTCTGGAAACAAAGAAAATGAAGTAATTTATTCATCAAATATATGCATATATAGTTATTAATGCTTAAGATAGTCTTTAGATTTTATCTAATATTTTTCAATTTCAGAAAATGAATTGGAAACAAAAAACTATTAACTTTGGTAGTCATCAAATGATATTTTAAACAATGGCAGATGAACAGAGTGACAATGTGCGGAAAGCAACCAACATAATGTGGAGAACAAACACTTGAATAAAAAGTGTTCAATGAACAAAGCCTCTCACTATAATTACAACTTGCTCAGATACTTTTGATTTCGCGTTTCCTACTCTCTTTCACTTTGTAATAATTAATTATTCTTGTAATTGTATATTATTATAGGTTTCACGTAATATAATTAAATATAGAAATTAATTAATAATGTAAATTATTTAATAAAAAATACAGTAATTAGTTATACATTTATTAGTGGTAATCACTAATGCGTGACAGGCGCATTTGTTTTAGTTAATTAATAAGACATTTGTTGTTGACAAAATACTGTAATTGTATATAAAATTTGCTTTAATTGGAAAAAAAAAATATTTAAGTAGGTACAGAATATTCATATTCTTTGGTGTGATAATATAAATGTGCAATATAAAAGTATAATAAGCGAGAACGCTCATGTTTAATTCAGATATTAAATTCTTTAATAAATTATATATAGTTTCGTCTTCGGTTTAATAAATAATTAATATTCGTGAGAAGTATATTTTAATATACCACTACGAAAGTTGATTGCGCAATTCATCGATTTAATGGATTTTTGTCAAAAATTAACATTTTGCTGCGATTTTTTATGAATATAGAAAAGAACATCGAGAAAATTGGAAAGTGAAATTAAGTTTGTACGACGGCGTGACTAGAGCGTTGACTCCGCTACTAGGGTTGTCATGCCAACCGGCTTAGTTATGTAATTAACACCGCAGTTTTACATACGGATTGTAAAACAGAAAATTGTGTTAATACATTGGATCCTATGGTCTCATTACGAACAATTTTGTCAGTTTCACAATTTTGATCGTAATCAGCGATGGGATTTCTTGAAGAAGATAGCGCATATAAATGTTTTCATCTTATTTTGCCTCCCTATAAACAACAAATGAACACAATTTTAGTACATTTAACCCTACTAAATTTTTAGGGCAATTTTCAATAATATACGTATTGTATAAACGTCTTTAGATGTAACAATAATTTCTACACCGCCATCTATTAAGTAATTTTAAAGTACTAACTACTAACAGGTCATTACGTATAACCAGTAAGTTATTGAGAATTGCAATATTAAATCACTTAGGAAAATGTCTTTCTCATCATTATATATGATGTCTCATGATTTGTAACAAGTTTTAACAATTTTGTTTATATTAATTAAAAATTTAACGTAGCAATAAATGTTTTTTTTGTAATATTTGTTGAAAATTTTCCCTTGTAAATAGTAATATATTAGATAAATGGCAGTCGACCTTGGTCATTTACTTCCTACTGCACGCTACTATGAAAACCTTGCTATTACACTATCGCAACATTGGCAATGAGTTCGACATATCAAGATAATATCTAATTTATTCAGATTATCAGCAAACAACATAATTTTACATAATATTTACATTTGCTGACGTTAAATATTTTGATTTGATTGATAATATTAAGCCACCATCACTAATTATAGCGCCATCTGTGATCAAATAGCAAACAACACACCTAAGTACGTAACAAATTGTAAAAAAATCTACAACGTTATTTTACTTTATTGCTTTCATAATAGCTGTAATTAAATACATTATTGGAGTTAGGAAGAGCCTTCAACATTCTATCACGAGATTGCTATGAATGCAATGCCAGTATAAAAACAAGTTTCAAGTTTAACAACTCGCGGTTTGATTCATTCTTTTGCTTGTTTGCTTGATACAATGAATAATTTAATTCTAAATAATAATGTTTTTAATATAATATGATAAAAATATACTTAATTATGACTAATTAGCTTAAAATGATATGTATGCAAAACCATATTACATAATTTTAAAATAAATTAAGAAATATGATGAAATGCTTATAAAATGTTGCTTGACGTTTCATTACAGAAAACGGAACGCAGCCGTCATTTTGACAAGTAGCTGCCAAACTTAGTGTTTATATTTTTGTGGTTATTTCACTTGGCATTTTTTTAATAATGTCGTCAGAATCATCTTCTGAATCGGAAGTCAGTGCTTGTAGTTCAAAATATGATCCAATTAAAGCTCTTTACACTAATAAACCAAAGCTACCGGTCGAAACAGCTCCAATGTACGAAAATTTGCGACAATTTGAAGCTGCTTTAAAGTATGACACTTTACAAAGTAGTTCTATTGTCCCTGTGGGATGTAAAGAGTTGGTAAATAAACGAGAAGAAGAAAAGAAAATGAAAAAGGAAGAAGAGGAGCGGTTGCTCCAAGAAAAGAACAAACAGCGTTTCGCTCAGTATGAAGGTATGATTTCTAGGTTATGTTATTATTTGTATGTCACAATCGATGTTGTTAATCTATCAGGTCTATTAAAATTACCTATAATATATTTTGAACATCATTGTGGATTTACAAATTTTTTAAACAGTTTTGTAAGTTAAATTTAAAGAAAATATTTTAAAAGGAAGCTTATATGCACTTCTAGTTGAACTCATATTAATGTGTTCTTAAATGGATTAACATATTAAATTAATAATCATAAAGTTCAAACAGTCAATGAAATAATTGCTATAAATTGCAATTTTATTAGGTAATCAAAAATAAAAGTCCTGTTGGAATATAGTAATCATCCATGCGTTAAGACATTAAGTGTAGAATGCATAAACAGTTTGCTTATTATGTAATTTTTTTGTGATCAGTTAACTGTTAAATAACAATATAGTCACTTAGCCCTTTGTGTATGCTATAATTAGCAAGTTATGCATGATGTCATCTAATGGTTTATGAACCCTGTTAAATATATTTTTAAAAATAAAAAAAAAGTAAAACATTATTTAAACAAGAAAAAAAGTGACATTTCTTAATAGGTGTTAAATTATAAGGGACTATGTACTTTTATACCTAATTTTGTAATCAATATTATAATTAAATTTACTTTATATATTATATTAACTGCGTGCACTTATGTGTTATTTTGTTTTGGCTATAAATTAACAGTTAGGCAAAGTATTTAAAAATCAGTTATCGCAATTCTATTTTAAACACTTTCTTTTTTACTAATTTAACAATTATTGTTATTTAAAATATAAAAAATGTGAAGGTTAATTTTTTTTTCTGTATCCCGCTCAATGCAACAATCTGTCATTAGACATTTAGCTGCTCCTTTGTTTGAAGTTATTCAGAAATAGGTCTTAGCAGTGAGAAATTGTCCATTGACCACTCTCGCTTATTCTGTTGAGAATCGGAGATTTTACACTTACAATTAATAGTATGATTTTTTTTTCGAGTGAAGTATTTGGAAATTGATAATTCACTGTATATGATAAATAAATTAGTATGATCCCTGTGACCAAGTCCAGAACCTATAATACCAGGTGATAACTTAAACATATAACTTATACACTATTGGGATGATAATCAGAATACAGAAAAATTATAGGTCATTAGATCACTATTATTACTTTAAATTATAATAGTTACTTAGTATTCCTTTACAATGGTAATATAACTAATTAATCGGCAAATAACATAAATTGCCAAATTGTAAGATATAAGACATATTTATTTATTTATTTATGTACCATAAAATATATGCTATACAAAATAAAATAACAAAATGTTGACAAAGGTTAACTCATCTCTTTAAGAGATTTCTTCCAGAAATATTTACTATATGTTGAAGACCTACAAATGTGTTAAAAAGTTTTAAAAAACGATTTTTTAATATCATCCCCAGAGGGGTGTATAATAAAGGCAAATATTTTATAAAAACATATTTTTTTATTTTTTAAATGTAAAATAAATAACAACATTCATTGACAATGACCATATTTACATATGTTTGATGTATATAGCTAACGCTTCAGTTCATGCATAAAGTAGAAGTGCACAAAAATAAAAAAAATATAATAGCTCGCACATCCGCATAACTTCTGTTGCAACACTAATGACATAACAGTATGCAGTGGCTGTCAACCCTTTCCCACATGCGTACACCAGTCAACCCCAGGTCACGCACGAGGTCAGTCTAGGCCGTTCAACGCGCGGCTCTGTGTCACCGACGGTCGTTCCCCCCGCCGGGATAAACGGCCTGATAGGGTTACCACGTGTATCGCTGTGGTAATAAAACTGTATTTATTTATAGGTACGTTGTTTGTTAACTAGCTCTTAACCTTGGCTATGCTCGAATTGGCTGATTAAAAAACAAAACAAGAGAAGCTCTTTCTCTAATTGATTTTTTAATATGACATATTTCATGACAAATCTTAATGGCTATGGTTCCAAAAAAGGAAGTAATAGAATACGTGAAAAAATGAATGCTGAGTGCATAGCATACTTTTTATCTGTCAATAATGTTCTGTTCATATATGGACACGTTAACTCACGTGCAGATACTTGAATTTTATGAATAAGTCTAGTAAAAAGATTTAACCGTCTTTTAGAGTAATGATGACGTGACTAGATAAAAAAAATTTAAGTGTCTGTTTGTAATGTCGAAACAAAATTTATTAATAATGCATATGAAATTATATACGGTACTTATAAGACACAATTAACGAAATTTTTGTCTGTCTGTTTGTTCCGGCTAATCTCTGAAACGACTGGACTGATTTTGACGGAATTTGCACTGACAAGTAGCTGATGTTAGAAGGAGTAACTTAGGCTACTTTTATATTAGAAAAAGAATTAGGGCTCCGCTCAAAAAAATTAAAACGTACTAATCGGACTCGAGTTCAATATAAAACTACTATTAGTGACTTGGTTAATTTAATTAAAAAATAATGCTACTGGGTGACAGTATTATAGAATTTAAAAAAAAAGTATTGCCATCAAGAAAAAAAAAACTTAAAATAGGCTAAATAAAATTATACAATTATATAAACATTAAAACCTATAAGAATTAGTGATATCCATCGCTAATCTGTCGCCTGGTAACCCCAGGCCACCCAGCCACTTGTGCGGCTTCGACGCGTGCGAGCGGACGCGGAGCGTGTGAATGAAATAATTAGGGGAATAACCGTCTTATCTTTAGTACTCCAAAGTTTCCTGCCAAAGCTCCACTTATTTGTCGATCATTAATTGTGATTGATCATTATCAATCAACATTTTAACATTTTTAATTGATGTTTAATTTTTAACAGTTTACATCGTAAAATGTTAAATGAATAATGTTTTTTGTTGTATAAAATTTTATTTAGAATTTTTCAAGTGTTATTTGTAATCAATAAGATTACCAGTTTTCTTAAGTGTTTTCACCTTTCAAATGAAGATATTATATTTTAACAAATTTTATAAATAATCCGCGCGTATAGTATACGTATATAGTAATAGAGTATAGTATACGTATATAGTAATATACGTTGGTTCCTGCAACACAGTTTTTAACGAGCGCAGGGGCTAGGGAAATTATCACTTTTGTACGTATAAAATTATGTCAATAAAGAAATTTATTATTACAATATGTATGATTATGTTATACTTTAAAGAATAAGACTTCGTTTTCGCCCGCACCGTAGGTACATACGAGTATATTGACGGATTTATTTCGTTAGTTCGTGTTAGTCCTCAATTCCGTACCCACACAAAGAAAACGTGTGTGCTATTGATTATTACTCTATTACTATTTGACCGACTTCAAAAGGGAGTAGGTGTTTTGTGGTATTTTTATGGGATTTTTCAAAAACCCTTATAAATTTCACAAAAAATGGCCACAACTAATGGTGGATTTTATCTTTATATTCATTGATTTTGAAGCCAGTATCTTTTTGACTGTGGTGAAGCCCAAAGGAGGGTTATGTGATTGACCTGAATGTATGTATGTCCGATCCTATATTTCCCAGTAGTTTGTAAACGGCTTAACTGATTTTGATGATTCATACGTCATTCGATTCGTCTTGATATCGCGAGTGTCATAGGCTATATAGATATAATTAAAAAAAATCAAAATGGTGGATCCTAAGCGCCAATTTGTGTATTGAAAAAACATTTTCGTCCGAAACAATCGAGTGGGGTATCAAAATACAGGTTTTTAGCGATTATTTTTATTATTCCTCTATTCTATAATATAATATAGCATTTTTGTAACTCTGACGGACCCAGAGAAAGAAGTGCCAAGCTTCGATTTCCGTAAGAAAGAAGAAGAAGTATTGAAAGAAAAAAATATAGATCAAATATATTGAGCCGCTTCCCTTTTACGTCTTTAATGCGTAGTGAATGTCAGTAGACTTAAGCAATTCTAACTAATGATGGAACGTTAGTCTCCATTTCATTTCAATTGGTCTACTAAATTAGTAATTAAGACTGAATCAAACACATAATAACTTTATATATGCATTAGCGACTCACCCTCGCTCCACTCGGGCCCCTTGTTAAATTACGTTTTAACGTTTGGTAGGTATAGATTTCTCAGAGATGAGATATTTTCACGCAGTAAAAAGTATCCTATATGTTGCCCGGATAACCAGCTGTCATCATAACAAATTTCCTCAAAATGTGTCCAGTAGTTTTCTCGTGATGCGTTTCCAGACAGACATACACAAATTATAAAAACTATAGTTTCGACCTCTGTATCTATAATAATTAAAAATAACTATTTCAATAAGATTTTACAAAAAAATATTTAATGTACAGATTCGACTCACAATCAGTTAGAATTTTATTATATGTTTAGATTTGTATGTAGGTACATTATACATACGTATATGTCAAAAATTGCGAATGTTTCTATTTTGATAAAATTTTAGGTAAAGATTTGCACCACGTTTTTAAAAATCTTTAGATTACCAAAAAATCGCAGATAAGTGCTAGCCTGATATAAAACCGATGCATGTCCGTATTTCTTACTTTAGAGCCTATAAAAATTTTATTACCACCGTTATGGCTATTTTTGTTTAACCAAATTAAAAGGGATATTTAGATTGTGGAAACAATATTTACTTAAGTTTTTATATATTTTGTAACATTACGACAGCGAAGAAGCTATTTACAGAATTTTAAACTTTTTTGGAATTACAAGTGATAATTTTTTAACGATATGAAAATTTTAGATGATCTGTGAATGGGTTTCACTTTTAATACTAAAATAGAGACAAGATCGTAAACCCAAGACTAAAGGCATATTAAATAGTATTTAGAAAGCCTTTATTTCCATTAGGTAAGTCAGGTGGCAACACGGTTCAAAATAATTTAAATCACTTAAATTTCTGTTATTAAATGCACAAGGAGTTTTGCTATAGTTTACATATTTTTGTACATATAAACATGGTTATAAAATAAAATAGTGTAAAAGTTTGCGAATCAACGCC